TACCACTTGAGCCACAGCGCCACTTCTGGCTTTTTTCTTTTTGCTTATGTGGTGCTGAGGAATCGAACCCAGGGCCTCGAGCATGCAAGGCAAGCGATCTACCACTGAGCCACCTTCCCAGCCCATTCACTGGTTATTTTTGAAATAAAATGTAGCTTCCTGCCTAGGAATGTACCTAGACTGTGATCTGCCTCAGAGCTTCTTCTACTGAGATGGAGTCTCAAGACCTTTTTTAGCGTGGGTTTGCTTGGAACCATGATCCTCCCATACTCAGCCTCCCAAGTAGCTGAGATTGCAGGCGTGAGCCATCAGGCCAGCTGTAAAATTCCATTTTGTGGTACAAGGGAGAGAATCCAGACAGATATGCTAAGCAACTACTCTTCCATTGAACTAAATCTTTAGCTCTTGGTGTTCTGAGACAAAGTCTCACTGTGTAGCTTAGGCTGGCTTCCTACAGGCAATCCAGTGTCTGCCTCCTAGAGTTGGAACTACATACTGCCCCACCATAGACAATGCATGTAAAATTCTTAACAAATGCCTAGATTTTTTTTTAGAGTAAATGGTGATAATTATATCTTAATTTGAAATTAGCAAATCAATTTTAACAAGTGAAAAACATCTCAAAGATGTGTATGCCAGATTTTATCCTTTGTTTGAAAGGATACACAGATATCACTGCTGCAAGTTATTGAGCAGGCCAGCCTTAACACCTTGTGCGTAATTGATAAAATAGTGCAACAGCAAGAATGACCAAATTTATTTGGTATCAGATCAAAGAGGATCACTTATCCTAAACTAAGGTGAAGTGAGTCCAGTCCTCAACCTTTTTTTTTGTTGTCGATTGTGGGGCTTGACCTCTGGGCCTGGGCGCTGTCCCTCAGCTCTTCAGCTCAAGACTAGTGCTCTACCACTTGAGCCATAGTGCCACTTCTGGTTTTCTGGTGGTTTATTGGAGATAAGAGTCTCACAGCCTTTCCTGCCTGGGCTGGCTTTTAATGGCAATCCTCAGATCTCAGCCTCCTGAGTGGCTAGGTTTACAGGCCAACCTTTTTTTTTTTAAAAACTGTTAATATGGATGACAGAGGATTCATTGTACCTGTGATTAGTTGTGTCCACACTTATCCAGGGTTGTGTACAATTTTTTTTGTCAGTTGTGGGGCCTGAACTCTGGGCCTGGGCTCTGTCCCTCAGCTCTTCAGCTCAAGGCTAGCACTCTACCACTTGAGCCAGAGTGCCACTTCCAGCTTTTTCTGTTTATGTGGTGCTAAGGAATTGAACCCAGGGCCTCATGCATGCAAGGCAAGCACTCTACCACTGAGCTACCTTCCCAACCCCTACTATTTTTTTCAAAGTCTTTCCCTTGCTTTAAGCTTTCTGGTCTCTACCTTGATGTGTCCTCAAATTCTTTTTTTGAGACATCACAAACTCAGGATGTAAGGGACAAGCAGAGACATATGTACCCCTTGGTAACCCTCCTGGAGAATCACTGGGTTCTGGTCTGTTAACCATTGTTTGCCTACCTCACTGGGCTGTTCATCATTATTTCTGGTAACAATTAGGAAATTTAATGTCTTGAGTCTGCTTCAAAGTAATCTATTTTGGAAGCCAGGGAAAGAAACAGGACATGTTGTTGAAGCAGGGTGTTTATTACTGTTATTTTGTAGATGTCTAAAATTTTATAATAAATGTTAATGATTTATTTTGCTCTAATATTGACTATGAAAATTTACACTTAGCAAAATGAAAAGTCATGAAAACTTAGTTTGTGACACCCCACTCCTCAAGAGAAGGGAGTAACACCAATAAGATTAATTAGAAATGAAGACAATGTTTTAGATTTAAGCCATCTCATAAAGAGGTGTCATTTAAAAATATTTATTAAGGAGCTGTACAAGGGCTTTCAATTCCAGAAGGTTATAAACATAATGCATTGTGATTATTGTCACCCCTCTATCATTCTCCCTCACGTTTTCCCATCCCATTTCTACCCTCAAGTTCCACAGTTTTAACTTTTACATAATGAATATCAAATGTAATTACTGAATTTGCTCACTGGTGGGTTTCTCTCCCTATTCTTTTAAACTTTATGGCTGTTAACACTTTAACAGCTAGTCGTAAAATACCTTTTACTATTCCATGGACCAAAGTACAGCTTCCACCTTCCCTAACCTTCACTCATCACTACAAAGAAACTACAAATCCCAGCATGCACTGCACGATACGTCAGCTCGAAGGCCTGGAATCTCTGAACGGGCTGCTCTCATTTAGATGAATGGAAATGGTCTCAGGAAAAAATGACGATTGCGGATTGCAGCAGATTTTTGGAGTCTTTTCAGTGCCTTGGGTCGGCCGAGTGCGCTGTTCACCCAGAGCCTCGCGGTAATCTTTCTGTTCAGGCGTCACCGTGGGCAGCCTATCCTTTCCTGGGTCCTCCATGCGGCCGGAGAGCTCCGTTAGTACCCCTCCAAGATGGCGACGCTGTTGGCGGTAAATTCGGGTGAGTGCGGCCAGGCAGGAGACAAACGGTGGAGCCGGGCGATGACCAGTCCTTTAAGGGAAGGGTCCGGGGCTTTGAGGTTCTCCGGGGTCCGGGCCGCTGTCTGTGCGCGGTGCCTGCGTTCCCCTAGCTCCGGGCCTAGAATCCCGCCCCTCCCCGGTTTGAATGGCGCGCGGCGGCGCTGGGCTTCCGAGTGGGCCTGGAGTCCACGCCGGGAGGCCGGGGGGCCGGCGGGCCGCGCAGCCGCGCCCCCTCGCCCCGGACCGGGCCTGGGTTCCCACGCCCCACTCCTTGACGTGTCTGCAGCCTGGGTTCCCCCAGGATCCCCGTCACATCTCCAGCAGCGAGGCCCAAGAACCCGAAATCGTTTTCAGCTGGCCGTGGAGGCTGGAGGCGGGACGGGGGGGGGGGGTGCCCGGCTGGTTCCGGGGACGCCCCAGATCAAGTCGGCTGTCTCCAAGGTGGCTTGGAAGGGGGTGCCACAGGCCCAGCAGACGTCTCCACATTCTGCGTGTGTGATCCCGTCCTTTCTCGGTAGAGTTTCGGGGTGAGGTCGAATCTGAGAGGCAGTCAAGGAACTATTGGAGAGGGATGGGTCGAATTTTGGTGGTTCGACATCTTCCATCCCCCATCCCCGTCCTGGAACGCCCCAAAACATACATACACTTTGTCGAATTTCCCGTGGTGTACTGCTGGCTGGCTCTGTAGATTGGGAACGGCAGAGATGCCAGAAGGCATCTGTATAGGGCGGAGAAGCCCCAATTTCCTGCTTAGGATGTTAATCCCTTGATTGAGCTACACATAAAATTCTCAGGCACTATTAAGAGATCTCTTTGGCAAAGGATGTCTTTGTAACAATCGTGGTTGTGGTGGTGGTTCTCCCATCTTTTTGTGCTGATTCCGGGACTTGAACTCAGGGCCTTTGAGAGTTCTCACGTGGATTTCTTTTTCTTGCTCCTCTGGACTCTTATCACTTGAGCCAAGCCTCCAACCTGGCATTTTTCTGGCTAATTGAAGAATGATTATTATATTGTAATATATAGTATATATTATACACACTGTTATAGTAATATATAGTATATATAATTATGTAGTATCATATACTATATATTATATATAGTATATGGTATATACACTATATAATATATAGTACATAGTTATATATTACATAATATATAACAACACATTACATATGTTATATACTATCTATAATTATATATAAACATAATAATGCAAAAACAATACAATAATGTAAAATGGTAATATGTAATATTGCTGTCCCTTCTTTCCAACTAGATATAAATTTAAAAGCAAGGCTACACTGTTATTGTTATGTACATTTATTTGTCATATACTTATGAGTTATTAAATCTTTGAGGGAAAGAGTTTTAAAAAGAAGAGCTACAGAGAGTATATATTGTACAATAATGACTAAAAGTATGCATTACAGTAAAGAGTAGAGCCAAGAACCAGTGTTTCATGCTGACTCAGGAGGCTAAGATCTGAGGATCATAGATCAAAGCCAGCCCTGGCAGGAAAGTCCTTAAGACTTATCTCTAGTTAACCATCCAAACTTCCAGAAGTGGAGCTATGGCTCAAGTGGTAGAGGTCTAACCTTGAACAAAAAAGCTCAGGGATAGCACCTAGGTCCTAGGACTGGCACACACACAGAAACACACACAAATCATATCCATGCAAAGAAATATTGTGCAGCCTAAAACAAGGAAGAAAATCCTGATATATGATACAACATGAATGACTCTTGAGGACATTATGCTAAATGAAATAAGCAAATCACAAAAGACAAATACTGCATAGTTTTACTTATGAAGTATGTATAAGTAGCCAAAGGCAGTACTTGCTTAATAGATATAGTTTCATTTTTGCAAGATGAAAGTCCAAATGTGTCTTGCAAAACAGTGTGAATATATTTAATATTACTGCACACGTAATAGTTAAGATGACATTGTTTCTTGCTGTCACAACAAAAAAAAAATCAAATGTCTTAGAGTTGTAAAAAAGAAAAACCTGAAGAAGCTGTAGAGTTTTTTTGATCTTTGGATTTCAAGCTACATGACTCATTAGTGTTGTGACAGCTCCAATATATACTTAGAGGCTTGTAAGTGAGCAGCCAATAACACAGCTAGTTAGTCTATGATAGTGTGGTCAACCCTGTCCCGATTTCAGTAGTGATGATTTCATCATCTACACTTCTCAAACCTTTAACCTGCAGCTGACCTAGAGAAAGTACTAGCCAATAAACCTAAGTTATTTGCACTCTTTTGAATCAAATTCCTTCTGTGTTCTTACGTAAGATAAATCTTACCCTTTATTTTCTTCCTAATACCCCTTCTTTGTCTCTTGCTCTAATTTATTTATTTATTTTATATTTTTTGTTATGTAGGGTTTGAATTCAGTGCCTTGAGTTATGAATCTAGCTCTCTTTCTCTTTCCTTCCTTCCTTTCTCTCTCTCTCTCTCTCTTTCTTTTTTCTTTTCTTTTTGCTTTTTGGTCTGTCGTGGGGCTTGAAGTCTGGACTTGGGCTCTGTCCCTGAGCTCTTATGCTTAAGGCTATATATTGTTCTACCACTCTCTGAGCCACAGTACCACTTTCGGTTTCTGGTGGTTAACTGGAGATAAGAGTCTTACAGACTTTCCTGCCGGAGCTGGATTTGAACCATGATCCTCAGATCTCTACCTCCTGAGTAGAGTAGCTAGGATTACAGGAGTGAGCCACCAGCCCTGGGCATTTCTCTTTGTCCGCACCCCTGCCCCCTCCACCCCACCTTGCACATCTATCCTTTGCATGCTTTGGTCTAATTGTTATCCTTTTTTTCCTCTTCACAGCCAGACCTTTCAAGAGATTTTTCACTATTCACTGGCTCCATATCTATGCTTCTATCCCTCTACGCATTCTAGCCTGATTCTATCTCCTAAACAGCTCTTAATAAGATGACCATGTTCTTGTTTATCACTAAGTCTGTTAGGGTTTTAAGTCTTCTTGCTTGGTCTTTTAGTGTACATGTCAAAGTCCTGAACATAGTTTAGAAAGCCCTGCCTAGAATGGCAGTTGCGTATTTTTCCCAAACTCTGTTTCGTACTGTTGCTCTTGGCTTCTTCCATTCTTTGACAGTGTAGTGTTTTCTCTAGCCATGGGAAGTCACTTAGTGTCTTCTCTTCTTAGAACATGTCTTTGCTTCCTGTCCCTCAGTTAACTCCCATTTCTGTCTTTCAAAATGCAGCCTAATCATTCCTGAACCCTTCCCTCCCCTGATTTCACCTTCTGGGTCATATTATATACTGCCTTGCCTGGGGCACCTCTTTCAAAGTATGTACACAATTGGACAATATATTTTTTTTCTTTCCTTTTATTTGTGAACATACTGTACAGAGGGGTTACAATTACATGGGCAGGATAATGC